ACGGCTTCCCGCGCTCCCTCTGCAATGGCACGGCGCACCCCCTAGGGGGCGAGCCCCACAGTTTGGGAACCTCTGCTGCTGTAGTGAGTTTTCATCCCAAATTAAACTTTATTTATTTAGCTCCAGCAAACGTCCCATCAGCTCCAACCAGCTTCTTCTTCTTCTTCTTCTGTATTGGATCTGACATCTTTCATCAACCGTTGTCCTTTTAAAAATATTTGATCTGAATCCTTATTGTGTATTTATTTTAAAATGCTCTAAAGCATGCACTATTTTTGAAGCATACCATATGATTTTATTATACTAGTATTTTTTTTGCATATATTATTTTGAATGGCATTTTTATTGATTTTCAAGGCCAAATCTGTTAATTTTGTGCATCTGTATATTTAATTTAATTTAATTAATTAATTGTATTTATTTTATTTCATAGGAGGAATTTAAGTGACTTATAGCAGTACAGCATTAGTTTTTTCCCCTGTATCTGTAAAGCATTTGCATTCCTGTTGGTGCTAAATAAATCCTTGATTGATTGATTGTTTTTAAAATGACAACTTCTCTTTTATTGAGAAAAATACGTATTTCATGACCTTGAACTGACTGTTTGAAGAGGAAGAACTGAAACTGATTAAAAAAAACAAACAAACAAAACGTGCAACATAAAACAGAATTTAATGATCTTGTTTTGTTCATTTGGAGACGTTTTTTTCCTCCCACAGTGTCGCCATGTTGGTCTCTGGTCTTCTCTGTGTCAGCAGCTCTCCGCTTCCCTTCAGAGGATCTAATGAGGAGAATCAATGACAACAAGATTAAACCCTGAACTCTGCAAGAGAACTAAAAAACAAAAAATAATTAGAAAGTGACAAAAGAAGACCAACAAGTTAAGAGGAGTGGAGGGGGCGGGGGGGGTGGTGTTTTTGTACAGTTTGCACTTATTTTGCACTCGTGAGCAAGGCGGCTTGATTTGCACTCCTCTATACTTGCTTCTTCCCCTGCTGGTTCTCGTGCTGACTAATGTGACTCATAACCCATTAAAGTGGTCTCATGCAGCTTCAGCTCCTTCACAGCCCACCGCTGTCAGTCAGTCAGAAACAGAAGTTCTGTTCTGACAGCTCCTCGTCCATGATGTTGACCTCGCATAAACCTGAACGTGCTCAGACTCAGGGGAAGAAAAAAAAAAAAAGCCCCTTAGTGGCCTCCCAATCAAACTGCATTCACAAATCCTGAGCGCCACATTACGGAGCAGATCTCTGATGGACGATAGTGGGACTGAAAGCTCAGACCCAGAAATATTCGCCTGCAGGACATCGAACAGCAGCAGCAGCAGCACCTCGGGAAACGGTCCAGTTCATCGGTCAGAGTTCACGGACAGAGCCGGGGCCAGGATAAGGTCTCTCACATCAGCCTGTTTAATTAGACAATTGCATGCTCAGATAACGGGATGAGCTTTGATGCGTTTGCTGTCCGACTCATACAAGTGATCTAAAAAAAAAACAAAAAAACAAAACAAACAGAGTGTTAGAGAGAGAGAGAGAGAGAGAGGTATTTCTGCTGATGTTAATTTGCTCTGTGTTAAGGCTCCGGTTCACAGCTCGGTCAGCCTTCCCTGATACTATATTCCCGTTTGTTTCAGTAAAGGTTCTCCTGTCACATCGCATTTAGGTCGAGATGCCTCTGAACTGTGAAAGCACCGCACGGAGGGACCGGGCCTCGCTCCGGCCTCCGGGTCCCGGGCTCCGCTGGTTTCAGGGATGACATGATTTCCTGCATGATAACAGCGTTGAATGAATGGGCGGATTATTAGAGATACAAATCAAGAACAACAACAAAAATCATACTGTTACTTGTTTATTACTGTAAATAAACAAGTAGCATTAAATGAAGGCTAAAATCTGTAAATGAATGAAATCAGTGCAACGTATTCCTTTTATTTATTTATTTTTTCCTTTTCTATTTTATACGTTTGAAATTAAATGCATTGATATGCAGTCTTTGTAACTATAAATGTAAGTACAAATATTTGGCAAAAAATTTGGTAAAAATAGATGTCTAAAACAAGAATACATGCGCTGTTTTAAAATGATTTAAAAAACTCCGTAAGAAAATAAATTATTAGTACATGAATGAGAATTACCTGGCTTGTGCAGCTGTATCCAGGCAGCAGCAGCAGCAGTCTGAGCATGTTTCCTAAGAAAAGGCAGCACTGTCTCCTGTCTTTATACCGATCCCCCCCCCCTCAGTAGGAAAGCTGATCCCTCCATTCTCTAATTTCATGAATTATGCATCACCCAGTCAGACGGACAAATGAGCGTGCTAATTGGTGTCTTTTTTTCTTTTTTTTTAATTATCACAGTTATTATTGTTATTATTTCCAACTCTGGAGCGTGCGATTAAACATGAAATTAAATTAACTTAATGATGGGAGAAATATTTTTTGCTAACAAGTCCCACTTTAACCCTGTTGGGTAATTTGAAAACACATTTTGAGGGAATTAATTTCAAATCTGAGCTCACTTTGTGAACATGCTAAACTCTAAATAGGCCAATTTAGGTGTCAATGTGTGAAACAGTTCTATTTATTTCCCCTCCTGTGGAGAAATGCAAATATTTTAGAGGGTTTAATCTGTTTGTGTGCAGCATGGCCCAAAATAAAGTTGATCATTTTTGTTTTTATAAGTGCATTTCTTATGAGAAAAAAACAGGTATTTATTTAAAGGATTTTAAATTGTTTTGAAATATTTATAGGAAGCAATAAGATCACATTGGTTGCTCAGTACATTCACACATTTTTTGAAGATGCTATTTTCTAAAGTTGCTGAAATAAAGTCAAATCGTCCAAACATTTAAAATTGATGGAATAACCTCACTTACCAGCTCATGCTAAAGGCCCACTGTTTGACTACTTCTTCCTTCTGCGTGCACAGATGCGCTACAAAGGGCTGCATGAAACACTTTATATGCTACAACTGGGCCTTATTTCTTATTCATTTTTTTCTCTTTTTAAATGATTAATAAATAAATGGGCCTGAGCTTTAGCAACCTTTCTAAATCCAACATGTGCATTCTCTCAGTGGTCTCTCAGACAGATAGAAATTTGTGAATTAAAAAATTAACAGATAAAAGTTTCTCATGGATTGTTTGCAGAATAAAAATATTTGAACGTGGAGTTTTTATCTTCTTGTACACAACAGACATGAACGTGTTTATCGTCGGTTTTTTGCTTCTCCAACATTAAGCCAGTGTCTTCTGGAATGATGGACAGCAACATTGTTATTTTTGATTTAAAAAAAACAACATATAATTAACATCATCTTACTTTTAACCCTGATATAAACCAGTCTGAGAAAATCTACTGGTAGTTGTAATTTTTTTTAATAATAAAAGAGTGGACAACAACTTTTAAAATGACAACTAGCTTTTAAATAAATTGAAAATAACCTTGTTTTTTTTTAATTTGTGTAAATAATTGCTTTGTGACTGTTAACAGATGGTTTTTGAACTGTTACGTTGAGGGGGAAATGTGCTTGGGCATTATTAACAAGAATTATCTGCGGATGCTAGCTTTAGCAAGCTAGTCTAACTCAGACATTATTATGCTCGTATATGACGTATATGTTCGTTATTATTTATTTTTACTGGTCTAGAGTACAAGCTTCCTACATTACAGTACAGGTATAATCACTATACTTCTAAATTATACCTCAACCTTAATAAATATTGATTTTGTGAGCTAACATGTGTAAAAATGCTAATGCTGAAACGTTAGCAAACTAATAGCTGTAGCTGGTTTACGTTCTGCTACACTCGCTCTCTCTCTCTTCCTCATAGACATAATATAAGGTATATATTATGTCTATGCTCTTCCTCCCTCGTTTCTCTGTGGGTTCGCATTCACATACTGACAAAAAAAAATAAGTTGCACTCATATCAAACATTTTTTTTTCACCAGACAAATAGAAAGTTGACCACCGTTTTTAGCAATGCTAACACCATTAGCATCGTTCTCCCAACTAGCTGCTATTAATCCAAACAGGAAGACACAGTAGACCACATGTGTCAAACTCAAGGCCCGTGGGCCAAATCCAGCCCACCATAGCTTTTTATGCGGCCCTCTAGATTCTTGACTAAACATTAATTGTGCTTAAATATTATCAATCAAATTACAGCAGTTTTTATCTGTTCACTGACTCCAATTGCTTGAGAATTATCGTGGAAAGAGAAGATGTTCAACAATATTATTTAATTTTAAAAATGTATTGATATTTTAAGAGTTTTTGAACAGGTTTTATCAATACATTCTGGCACAACCGCCCCTTTAAGAGCATTCATAATATTGATTTGGCCCCAAATGAAATAGTTTGGTGCCCTGCAATAAATGGTGTGTAGTTTGGGACGGTTGGTATGCATGGTGTGTGTGTGTGTGTGCGTGTGTGCGTGCATGCGTGCGTGTGTGTGTGTGTGTGTGTGTGTGCACACTGGCATGAAAAGTCAAAAACCATTCAGTGTCATCTACACCAATTGTCTTGACGCAATAATTCAAAAATGTAAACCCTAACTTGCCTAATATTTTCTTGAACAAAATAAAACATTATCCTGCTGACAGCTATGAGGTCTCTTGAATAGAAAAGTTGAACATTTTGTTGAAATAAGAACAAACAAACAAACCCAAAAATACTTCTGAAGCGTTTGTTATTGTGAGCGGTCTGAACGTGTCGCTGTGGTTCTGTGACTCAGACGACGGCCACAGACACTTCTCTCCCTCAGGAGCGCCGAGGATAAGATGTGTTCCGATGTGTTGGAAAAACACCTGTAATAGTCCAGGTGTGTGAGAGGATGGAAGAGCACGACCGGCAGCGCTCTGGAAAAGTGGACTTCTCTGCACTTTAGTTAGCTTCACAGAGCATCAGATTACACCTGCAGCAGGAGAAACGCTCCCCTTACTCCTCTTCACCCCCCCCATTTTCTCCTTCTCTTCTGATCTGTCAGACAGCCGCCACGGCCGCAGCATCATCAGCATCAGCAGCAGCAGAGGCGGCAGTTGCGATGGCAACAGGAGCAGATGTCGAGGGGTTTCTCCAGTGTGACGGAGTTTGAACTGTTGAACTCTGCAGATAAAAAAAAGAGGCAGTAATGGATATGGATTTACAGTGTGAGTGTACGGGCTGCAGCTGGATTGGCTCTAACGCAGCTTGGCACACCATATGCCGCTGAATGCATTTTTTATGACGCGCTCGCAGATTTACTTTGCTCACAAGCTTTAGGGCTTTGCAGCTGCACATGCATGGCGCGGTCCACATAATATCCTCTTTTACATAAAACTGCAATGCCTTTGAATCTTGATCTCCGCTGACAACTTGAATTAACGCAACGAGCGAGTGTATAATGAAAATAACATGGGCAAAAAAAAAAAGCCTAAACTGCAACTTGTGACTCACAAACACGTACACAAGAAAAGAAACGCCAACCCAATTCGACAGACTTGGCCACATGTAGGCATTAATGACTTTGGGCACGATGTGAATCATAGTAATGCTAACTCCGAGGGCCGACTCTTTCATGGTTATCCAGAGGCTACAGCATGGCAGCTTCCATGGCGATCCAAGACAAGTCACTGACTAGCCGCTCTTCGCAGGGCAGTCGTTTCACTTTGTGTTGATCAAATATCAAGAGGAGCCTTCCAGTGTGGCTGAAAAACAGTCTTCAGCAGGCTTTAGGCTCAGGCTGTTGAACTAAACAGTTGATTATTAATGATAATTTGTTGCTAATAGAATCATGACTTTCAGTTTTGTGAAAAACAAAACAAACGAATTAAATATGAAACTGTGCAGAGACAACTCTTTATGGTTGGTAACAGAAATATCAGTAATGACATCAGTTTATTTTTTTATTTATCAGATGGATGGAGAGTTTTGGCTTTCAAGTCTGGAACCAAATTCTGAATTAGACTTAGGTTTTGACTTTGACTAGGCCGCTCGGTAACATGAATCTGCTTCAGAGCAAATCGTTTAATCGTAACTCTGGCTGTATATTTTAGGACTGTCCCACTCCCAGATGTTTTGCAGCTTCTGACAGGTTTTCATTTAGGATTGGGACACGCATCCGGCCATTGTGATGTTGCCACCACCATGTTTTACTCTGGGGGTGTTGAGTTCAGCATTAAGTCCAAGACTTGTCCTTCTTGGTTCTCTTTTAGCTAATTAGACTGGACTTTGCAGCATCATGCCTTTCATTTAGGCTGCTTTGCATTTCTCGGACGTTTTCAGAGTTTGCGTATACGGCTTTGTCTGTGTGACTCTCTTGCGATTCTTGACGTTATTTGTTTTCGTCTGTTTTGGTCGCGCGCTTTAAAAACCAGAACATTGTGACTCATTTGGCCCCAGGGTTCACACCCCAATAATCTGCCGGAGTGTGTCTGGAGTCAGAAGGAAGCCCCGTGGCGTTTCTGTTGTGTCTGTCATTTCTGCGGCAAAAACAACAATACACTGATTTTCCCTGTCCGGAGTCAATTCACTGAACCTTTATTTCCATCCATAATATGAAAGAGATAATCTGAAAAAAAAAAAAGCTTCTCTATCTTCTCCCAGTGCTACTATTGACGTCTGAAGAAGAACTGCTTCCGGTCAAAAGCAACCAATCAGAGCCAGGAGGAGGGTCTTAGTGCTGTCAATCAACCTCTTGTAGTTGCTACTCAAAGCACTTTTGACAGAACCGTTACTGAAAAACCATTTACCTGCCATCGTCGGAGGTTATGCTAACTAGCATTAGCATTCCTAAGAGGGACTGCTGTCGGGGAGAAGCTGTAGCGTAGCAGAGAGGAAGGGGGAGTGCATGATTGACAGCGCTAAGACCCTCCCCCTGGCTCTGATTGGTTGTTTCTAACAGAGAAACAACCACGTTTTGGACCCAAACCCGTCTGAACTTGTAGCAGCTGGTCTACCAGCCGTTTCCCCATTTATGGCTGACATCATCAGCTCCTCCTTCATCTCCAAATCAGTCCCCCAATCTCTCAAACAAAAAACCCAGTTAAACTTTCATGGTCACTTTTTGAACCACTGGCCAGTCTCTTCTCTCTTCTCTCTGTTATTTTTTTTTTCCTCCTCGGTTTGATTTGCAGTTTGGAATATTTTCCCACCGGCTGCTTCTGGTATTTAGGTTATTTTAGCTCGTATTTGTTCTTTTACAGCATGAAGGTCACCGACACGCCAACAGGCCAAGAGGTGGAAAAACATTGTGGTTTTTTTTCTTTTTTTTCCCAGGATGACTTCATTATGCATAGACAATTAATCTTTTATCTGCTCCTCACCTCCATCCAGAGCTGTGACGGCTGACTTATGAAACTTTCATAAGGGTAACGGAGATAAAGCCAAAATGGAATAAATGCCCCCTGCATTCAGTCCCAGAGGAAAGGTGAGAGGAAGCCGTTTTTAAGGTGTTACACGGCGCTAGACGACTCTCTGAAAAGGGTTTTTATATGAAAATATGCGCCGTGCGGGGGGGTCACCGAAGCCAGCATATTGAATATTTACAGAGGTCTGAGCAAATGGCGGGATGTGTGCAGGTGTTTGCCGATGTTTCCCAACAAGCGCGGCCTTTGTGAACGCGGAGCTTTTTTCCTCCAAAACGTGACATTTTCCTCCCATCGAGAGTTCAAATGAGGTAAAACGACTAAAACGTAGCTCAGTTGCTGCAGTTGAGATGTCAAATAGGAGGAGTGTTTTCTCTCTCTCTCTCTCTGTGTGTGTGTGTGTGTGTGTGTGTTTTAGTCATGTAATTCCCCTGTTCGTCTGTCACACAAATCCTGCTTTTTCCCCTCAGTCTTATATAATGTAACGCAGCAGAGGTGAAGCGCTCCCCTCGGTGGATGTGTGTGTTCGGTATGAAAGGACGAGACGGGAAAAGAAACGCACGGCGTAAACATTTCAAACGGATACAAATATTACTAAAATTATTGTTGCCTCGGGACGTACACAGTCATGATGCGTAGCGTTTATACATCCAACACGCGGGGCAGGACTGCAAGCCGGCCGCTAGAGGGCGCTCATCCTCTGTGAACTTTTGACCCCCCCGTTGCTTCCAGGCGTTTTCACAGTATCACATCTGTTATCACATAATCCCGCTTTGATTAATTAGATGAATGCAGCAGCTCACACTGACTCCATGACCCGATTCATGAGCGCAGAGAGAGTCCGCAGGTCGATTAACGGGCCGAAGTAAACAGGCCGGGGGGAAGTGATGCAAATTGAT